ATATGATTTTGGTGACTAATGATGAAATCTGTGCAGCGATAAAAGATGGTTATGATGAGACTAGATGTCTGTTTGAACCAGCCGGTGCATTAGGACTAGCGGGTTTGTTCCATATTGCCTAATGTCAAGGTTTAAAGAAATATCTTAACCAGAACCCATCGATGAAGAATGGCGTGTTTGTAGCAGTAGCATCGGGTGCTAACATGAATTTCGATCGATTAAGGTTTGTAGCCGAACGAGCAGCGATGGGTGAAGGTAAAGAAGCGCTGTTCAGTGTGAAAATGCCCGAAAAGTGTGGTTCTCTCAACACGCTCCTTCAATATTTGGAAAAGAACGCCATCACTGAAGTTGCATACCGTTATTCGACTAAAGCTCCAGCTCATGTATTTCTTGGGTTTTTGAATACCATTGAGTATAGTGTACGTATTTGTATAATATTTACATGTAGGCTGTTTCTGTCCTGGAAAAAATAAACAAAGCATCTGAATTTAAAGCAATTGATATTACCAAGAACGATATGGCTTCGATGCATGTGCGATATATGTCTGGGGGAAGGAATCCAGTAGCGTTAGAAGATGAAGTCTTGCTGCGATTTCGATTACCGGAAATTCCCAGCGCCTTGCCAAAGTCTATTGAATTGCTAACAGCGGACTGCAATATTACTTTAATACACTGTAAGTAAATATCAAGTCATTTGACCAAATAGATCGCAATCACGGTGCAGACTTTGGTCGTGTCCTTTTAGGATTTCAAGTCATGAAAGGAATTGAGGTAGATACTTATAAAAGCAAGTATATCCATGATCTTGAAAAGCTGGGTTGTGTTCAAATATTTGATGAAACCAAAAATGAAGTTTATGATCATTTTTTCAAATAAAGATTGAATAAAACGGGAATTATAATTGGATACCTATAGTCTTCTGGTATTTTATGATGACCATTAGAATCACTGAAAGGATATTTATCTCAACTTTTTTTTTGTTTCTAAATTGGACAAACTGTCACTTTCCAACTCATTTAAACATTCCATTTGTGTAGAACGTATGACTTCAGTTACTCCAGAAGAGCTTGTTGCAGAATTCAAGAAAAAAGGCTACTTTGATTCTGTTAGAAAAAGGTTATTAGACAGCTTTGCAAATTCTGATCAAGGAATTGAATTTCAACAAAAACTAAGACAATTGGCTGAAAATGCCAATACTACAGACAGAGGATCTCTAGTTGCAATCCTAACATCATCATCTGTATTCAATGAAGTGTCAACCAATCTCAGCTCTGTTTTTGATTCACAAATAAAGGATGATATCACAAGAGACTTGAAGCGTACCTACGAAGAAATGCAAAACCCTCCACCAATTATAGAAGAGAGAAAGTCGCAGTCGATTAATCAGAGTGAACATACACCAAAAAAATCCGCTCTTGCCATTCAAAATGATAAAAGTGATAACAATCTAAACAGTAACTCTTTCAAGAATAAAGGTGTTTCTGTTGTAAATACTACACAGAATATTGAAACCACCAATGCACAAGTAGCAAACTTGATCGAATCCAGAACAGAACCTATAACAAATGGTACAACTACTGAACAAATCCAAAAATCTATAAATGAATCAATGGCAGATACATCAGTTACAGGGATGGTACTTGATACAGAATCAATTTCAGAAGAAGATATCCAATCGAGCATTAATGATCAAGTACAAAGCTCAATACCAGGCAGTGCAAATTGGAGTGAAAGCAACGAAAGAGATTTAACAGAAAGACCTTCAAACCTAACAGTTGAAAGTGGTGATGCTGATGTTGAAATGGCAGATTCAAATAATAGAACGACATATGATTCTGACTCACATGTAGAAGCATCTTTGAATACGACACCAAAGGCTGTAAAGACAGCCGTAAATACTGCAAATCATAAAATGGATTTGCAGTTGCTTATTGAAAATGAAAATGATACAGACTCAAAAATGGAAAGTACTCAAGACTCATCATCTCCAAACACATCACTTGAACTTGTTGATCCAGAAACTTTACCTATGAGAACTGGCACGCCTGATCAGGCTACTCATCAGATATCTTCCTCACAGCCATCCAGTACCTTCAGGTCGGACCCTGCAAGTGACATTTCTCAACTGTTGTCTGAATTGAAAGATGATGATGATGAATTGTCGGACTTAGATATCATTCAAGATCCTCACCTTATGGTAATGGAGTCAAAGAAACCAAAGAAACCCTTATCAAAGTCTCGCAAGGCGGTCAAAAGGAAGTCTATAAATGATACTATAGACGAAGAAGGTTCCCAAAAATATAAAACGGGGATGATATTGGCAGCACTGGTTCCAATTGGCAGTCATCAAGATTGGCTACAAGCAGAAATAATCGGATATGATAGTTCCACAATGGTATATGCAATAACTGATTTTAGATGTATACTGTGAGAGATATAGCACCAGAAGATGATTCTGATGACGAAGAAGAACAGCCTAGCCCAAAGCAATGGGATATACCAGAAAACAAAATGGTCGATCACACAATCAGAACTGGTTATGAGAGTTTAGCAGTAGATGAAACAGTTTGGGCATTATACAAGGACAAAGATCTGGGAATGTTAACAGCATTTTATGCAGCGAGTATTGAAAGCATCAATAGGGTATGAATGAAATATTTTATCTGAACTTAGAGTAAAGAAATTGTGACTGTTAATTATGGGGATGGTGATACTGGACTGATTTCCTACACTGAAATGTTTCGGAACAGCGAAATCAAGCATTAAAGCATTTTAATATAAGCACTTATTGTCATAATAGTATTCTACTGGAACAGAGAAAATATGTTATATCACTTATAAATCGGTTTAAAGATATCCATCCAATTGTACATTACAATCCAAACTATTTACTTTGAAGTCCTGGTATTTGTGCCAAAAGAGATTCTCCAAAAAAGAAGTGGTATTTTAATGTCATGTAAGCTTCGAAGCTTCCATCCAAATATTTCAATGCCAATTACATGATATGGTTAAGATAAATATCCCAGCCATTGAGTGGATTCCGACAAATTTAGACAACGTACTGGTTGAGTTTGATAGATAGAAGTCCAAACTCCTCAATCTGAAAATGATCCGCTATAGATCATGAGTCCCAGGTACACTCTTGCATTTAGTCAAAATATCTAAACAGTATCATCTAAAAAGAGAAGAATAAGTTGGTATAAAACCACATTCTGGATATTTGAGAGACCAATGATGAGCATTTCAAATGATATGGACAGAATTTTATTCTAGCTACAGGTTTCTTGGTCTCAAATCGTGGGCTTGATGGGCAAATAAATGCATCATTATACTGGGATTTGATTTCCCAGGGAAATTCTTCGGTAGAAACGCTTGTAATGGTTCAGTTTGTATCACATCTATCACCTCGGTTTGAGGTAAAAAACTCTGTCGATCAGAACTACAATTAGTATTAGTAGTTTGATATCTACCTGGTAAGTTTGATTAATCTAAATACAATACGATAAACTCCTTCGTATTTGATGTAAAGATTGGGAAATACAAAGAAAGTTCCAACTTTTCCAGTTTCGTCTACCAAACTTCGCGAACCAACAAATGTATTCCCAAACATCAGTCCCTCTACCTCCTTATCAAGGTTATTATTTTTATCAATTGACCAGATAGAAGCAGCCACGAACCAATCATTGTCACTAATGTTAATATTTTGCAAAGTGGTATACGATTTCGAATGGTTAATGTTGGAAATCACTTGAAGAACTGGCGTCTATATATTAAATTTAAGGCTGTATACAGGATCTAATGATCGAAAGTCAGTGGCTCCATTTCCACTGCATCTAGCTCTGACTGGCTGTTGGCAAATAATCAATTTTGGAGTATTCGAGTTAACGCTTTCATAACTATCTTGCATACTTACTCGCGAGTCTTCTGTCTTTGGATAAGAAGGCGATAAAGTAAGTGGAATCAGATCAACGAATCAGGTTGATCAAGTATTACCAGAAAATGTCGAAGTGTCTTTTTTTTTGTTGCAGAACCACCTACCTTTTTCAAAACACAATGGTAAAGAACGAATTAAAAGTTTGTAAATGATTGTTCAATCTCTGCCATAGACGTGGGTTAAATACCGTTCACTTAAAAAAAGCATCTCATATCACCAACGAACAACGGAAATCATCACAACTCAGAGATATCCATTTTATATAGCTCAGATAAAACAGATAATGAAAAGTCATCGCTATTTTGATGCTAAGAATTCTGACAAATATGAATAATCAACAGTAAATTTCAGTACATTTCATTCTCTTCGAGCCTTCACTCATCCAAAAATCGAAAGAAACAAAGACGTGAATTCTTGACATAAAAATTGCATCGCATTCCAATCCAAGTGAACGGAAATGAGAAAGTCAAAGTAGAATTTGTTAGTAAGTCAGTCTGATTAAACACGACCCAATTGAAACTGGCGATTCTAGCTTTAATCGAATCATTCATTTTTACTACCGCTTATCTATTATAATAGAGCAGTTGAGTTTAAGTGTTGAAAACATAATTTGAATTATGCGCAGTTTCAGGACAATAACAAATCACTCTCAACATGATACTCAAGACTCCTTATATTCTATCTGATACACTACTGTTACATTTCAAACTACAAATCAATGTTTTTACTTTGGAATTCATTATATTATAATGTGCAAACACTAATACCGTACGTGGAGTAATAAAACATGAGGAATTGTGCATATATAGGATGAGATGCCGTTCCAGGACCATGAAATAGTGCCTGATTGTCTGGATTTAGTTGGTAGAGGCTAGTACTTGAAATTAGACGGCTTTTTGAAAGTTTAAAATTTTGGAGTGGATATATAGGTGTTTTAGACTATATACCAAAGTGCAAACCTTCCAAACAAGATTTGGGCGGATGGCCGAGCGGTCTAAGGCGTCACGTTAAGGCCGTGATCTCTTCGGAGGCGTGGGTTCGAATCCCACTCCGCTCAATCTTAATTGCCTTCTTAGCTCAGTGGTAGTAGCGCATGCCTAGTAAGCATGAGGTCGGGTGTTCAATCCACCCAGAAGGCATTCATCCCGTCTTAGCTCAGTTGGAAGAGCATAAGACTGTAATGTGATTGACATCTTAGGGTCCTCGGTTCGATCCCGAGAGACGGGATATGAAGGATTGATAGCTCAGTGGCAGAGCATGGGACTGCAAATCCTGGGGTCGCGAGTTCAACTCTCGCTCGGTCCTTCTTTTTGCCTTATTTTTTCAAACTTATATCCTTTTGCGTGCAGACTGCTTTCTGTATATAGAGTATAATTCTAGTTCTTTCAAATTACATTCTAACTCATGGTTTGTCACTGAAGTTACTATATATTGTTAATTAACCATAATTGGGTTTGTTACGCTTAAACTCGCCATTCATCATTAACTTCACGTATCAAATTACGTATATTAAAACTCTAATCAAAAATATGGTCAAAATTGCTAATAATGACTTCTACAACTCTACTTGCATATTTCATATTCATTGGATCTGGTCCAGCTCCTGAATCTATCAGTGTTGGACCCCACACAATTCCCAGATTAACTTCGTTCATTTTATTGTCCTCAGCAAATGAAGCAACCCTAGTCAAGATTAACATAAAGATACATTACCTAGACAGATGACCAGCAAGATGCTTTAGGGTAGCATAATTTGCATCGTGTAATTCGTTCACTAATTCATGAATTTTAATCAATCGAATTCTGGAATCTTCTTCCTCTAATGATATGAGAAACAAATTATTTAGTTACTGGATGCATCGATTAAAGAGTTATACATATTCTTTGGAAATAGCGGTTCACTTAACTCTCTAAAAAAGAGTTTTATGACACCAGTCACTGTGTGTATATCAGTAACGATATCTTCTAATGGAAACTGCGGGTCTAGAGTTTTAATATACTTAAAAATACCTTTATCTAACGCAGCTCTAATTGCTTGCAATTGCGTTCCACTCCCAGACATTCGATACAAACCTTCCTGAGACAACCCACTGGCTTCTATGTAATCGGTACAGTTGATAACTATATATGGCACAGGTTGTTGATCAGGACTTGATTCCATCAAACTCACTAAATCAGATCCGAAGTAATTGCAAGATGCTGATGTGTATGGAATAGCTGCTGGTGATCCTGAGGCAGTGTATGGTGAAATAACTGGAAGTGTTTTCTATTGTTAAAACCAAAAATCTACCCCATATGAGACATAAGAATGTTCGCTTTTATCGACAGGTTTCTTTTGCAGTCCATAACTATCAACAAATCCTTGGAAGTCTTCCTTATTGTTGATTAATTGGACAGTTTTCAAGAGTCCAACTATCATCAATACATAACAAACAATTACCTTCTTTGGATTGATCCAAAGGACTTAGAGTGGTTGCTTCAACCATTACAAGTGATTCTACACACTTTGCATACTTTACAAGATACTTTTGTAGTCCTTCATCACAGTCATCGTTGGTCTCTTTTAATGCCTAGATATTAAAGAGAAGATGCATTACTCTGATCAAACGAGGTAAGTGATTCTGAAAGTAAGAGTTTCTTACCACATTAGTTTGCTGTAACCAATGCTTATAAGATTCGTTTGTTGATGCAACTTTTTGTCTTGCCTCCTCTTCCGTTCTTGGCAAAAACTACATAATTAAATTACTAGTGTCTACTTTTAAGTCATGCTGTAATCTTTGTTTCAGCATCTGAAATGGATTATTATTAGTACCAGGTTTGGTGTTGGAGATATTTTTCTTGATATTTGGAATTCCAGTGTCAGAACCAGTAATGATACGTTGTAAATCTTCAGAAGCCATTTCGAATTTTGAACGTGATTTTTCCAAATTTCCTTCCACATCTTGTAATTCTTTATGATGTCTCAATGCAGCTTCTTTCAACTAACGGTGAGTGAATTCAACCATACTTGTTTTCGACTTCGTTCCGTATTTTTATATAATACTTGGATGTTATCAGACATTTCTGATATTGAAGAGGCAAACTGTTGCCTTAACTCTCCTAGTTTGTAATGCATGTTCGTGAATTCACCCCATTGAGTTTGGTATGTTCCTGATTTAGACTTTCCATCTTTTGCAACTTCTAGTGGCTTCAAATTTCCCAATCTCATTAATCCAATTGCATAATCACTCTCCACTTTCGCACGCTGTTTCAAGAAAAGGTAAGCTTCCTGCATATAATTATACTAATGTAAAGTTATTACCTTAGCGGAAGTCATGGTCTCTTTCACTCGATTTAACAATAAAGGAAATCCATCTTCGTAATCACTAAGCATTTGAATTAATTGCTCTTCTTTTTGATCATCCTCTTCCAATTGCAACGATAGGGCTGTTGTTTCAGCTATACGGTCCAGTGTCTTTGCTGATGGTGTGCTTTTAATTACCATTGGTGCTGGGGTTTCATACGATGAAGTTCTAACAGGAAGGGGAGGTCTTGGAGATACTGCTTGGGCAGCCAAGTTATTTTGCAATGGAGAAATAACATCAACAGTTTCTTGTAAATCAGCATTACCAATATTAGTTCCAAACAAGTAAGAACCAACAATAGACTGCCTCTTCTGTGCCATTTCCTCAAAAGATGTCGAAACCTCAGTTTTAACCTTTAAAGCTAGGATTCAGCAATCAATATGTAATACCAACATCAGACTGTGAATAATTATCGTGGGAAGATAAATAACCAGTTGATTTTGATTTTTCCTGTTCCAAGTAGGAGCGAGTAGACAGAGAGTCAGTGAAATCAGTATCATCCGTTCGAGGTTGGCTATTATCCTTAGAATTCAGAGTTGTGTCAATAGAAGGGGGTCTTTTCAACATGAGGGAGATGCTGAGTAACGCAAACAAAAACAACAGCGTTTTAGTTTTTGGTGGGCTTGGTTGACGCCCAAATGTAACAAGAGTAACCATCCAATCATCAACTTGATTGCTTAAATTTGGATATTATGAAATTTTAATGCTTGGAAATCATATTCTTTTTATCACTACAACCATTGCTTATTGACTAACATCATTTAACAAGACTACTTTGATCATGCAACGGTTTGTGTTACATTTTACTTAAAGAAGCACAACTCCTTCCTCAAATTTAATATCGCATAATACAGTTCCTTTGTTTCTATGATCAAAATTCCATCACACTCATATTCACAAGTAGAGTTGTAGAAGTCATTATTAGCAATTTTGACCATATTTTTGATTAGAG